AAGTCATTTCACTTTACAAAATCTTGAGAGTCCAAGCAAACAATGTTGATTATAATTCTGGAAATTATATATTAGGTTAGTGTAACCAGAACTAGAACATAAAAATGAAACATGGACCACAGTACAAATTTGGTTGCATTTTGATATCTTGGTTATATAAAATAGACGTATTACCTGATTCAATAAATTGTCCAACACCTGTATCTGTGTATTACGATGAACAACTTCATAAAACCCCTGTTCAAATATTTATTACTATTTTACTTTGTAAAACTAGAAATAAAAATTGTTAATTGTGTAAAGTTACCAGATAAATGAAAAGCACAACCGATATACCGTATCTTTACGCTATTTGAGAACGAACGGCGGCCATTTTGTCTGTAAATTTCGGCTTGATTTTCACGAAATTCGAACTCGCGGTCGCCCTAAGGATGTAACGGTGATATAATAAAACGTTTTTTTAAATCGGATAAAAATTATGACCTCTATAGGGTCCACAATTCAGGAAGTTACGGTCCGATCTGCGCGAATATCGAAAGGAACCGAGATCTTTGGGTTAAAGTGGCACGAGGCAATAGAGCTATTCAATTCGGGATTACTGAGTCCAACTCAGAGGCGATGATCAATAACAACAACTTACTTCTTAACTTGTAGAAATCATACTAGACCGTGATATCACGGTGATATCACAGACAATAACATGTTATGTATACAAGGTGCAATAATTTACAATGTGATAAGTGAAAAAACAATAATAGGATAATGAGGTTTATATATATATATATGTACAGAAGAAAATAGATAACTGCAAGAGACATGGGATAACATGTGCAAAGAGTAGAAAAGTGCCAGTAGACGTTTACAAACAGACGAATTTTTGACAATACAGACATGAACATAGACGAACATTTGGACAGACATGTATACAAGGACATTTTAACAAAACAGACAATGAGGACGAACATTTGATCATATTATGTACATATATATACTTATTGGGTCATCTGTATTGGTCTGGTCGTTCTGTCCGGTAGAATGGCAGGGCGGTGCAACTCTTCCTTGGGGCTTGTTGGTGAGTGTGAGTCCTGGTCCAATCTTCCTTCCATTTGGGTTTGTTGTCCGGTATGGTGGCGTTGTCTCATCTTTGTTTCTGATTTTCATTCCTTTTATTGTTGGTTCTCTGAAGGAAGAATCCAGCACCTGAAAAAGAAAGCTAGAGAAAAAAAGAGTATCTGGTCTTACGGTGATTTTTGTTTTTATTTCGTCTAGTAAGGCTTCGGGGGGGGGGGGTCTTATAAACTAATAATAAGAATAATAAGCGGAAAAAAAAAAAGAAATTGCTAAATGAATTATAAATAAAAAGTAAGAATAATAAATGGAATAGGAAAAAATTACTCAAGAATTATATTAATGGTAAATTGATATAATATACAGTTAATAATTTATTCGGAGATAATAAAGTACAAAAAAACATGTATGGTGGCTTAATATGATCTATAATCAATACTTATTTAGTCGAAAAGAGATAATAAAAAATAATTATTTCGTTGAGTTTCAGGGTGTGTTACGTTACCCTCGAGCGGACATTTTTACATTAACACCCTGATTTATTAGTTAAGAGTTTTATTTGTGGTGTAGGACGGGTGGCGATTCCCTCTAGGGGACGTTTTTTCGCTCCGTCTTACTGGGTAGAATTTAATTTATTAATTTTATTAGAGTTTTATTAATAGTGTAGGGCGGTTTACGTTTCCCTCTAGGGGACATTTTTACGCTCCACCCTACTGTTTTAATTGATTAATTTTATTATTTTATGTATTTGGTCATTCCTATATTCTCAATAAACTCCCAGACAAGCTGAGATGTCCAGTATCTATCGTCAGGTTGTGGGGAAAGGAGAGATTTGAGACAGAGAGTTTTTCCCCCTTTCTGCTAGATTCTTAATCACGGATTGACGTTCTTTGTTTAATTGATTACAGTTGATTAGCAGGTGCGACGTGGTTGCAATTTGTCCACACTGGCATTTAATTGGTGTAAAGGTGAAGTCCTTAATTACGTTTATTGTTTTAAGCCTCGTGATGAGTTTGCATATTTTGATTCATCCCAGCTCCGGCTGAGAATAGGCCCTAAGCTAATTAACCGACATTTAAATTCCTACATCGACGATTTTAGTCGAAAACACTGAGTATGCTTTTAGAAATTTTTAAAAGTATTTATTTCTCTTCTATTGTCATATTGAATGAAATTAAATATGTTTATTTAGCCGCTGTGTGTATGAAAAATGTCAAACTAATCAAAGCCGAATCACAAAATAGTCCTCTAATTATTCAATATGGCAGCGCCCATGAAACATAATTTCACAGAGGCGGTTTTATTTGCGAAAACAAATTTAGGAGTATTTAACCTTGTTTTGAAAGATAAACAGATTGAAACTCTAAAGACAGTTTACAATGGTAAAGAATTTATTGCAATATTACCCATAGCACATATTATATATCGCTTTTACGCGAGTGTCAGCGACATGCCGTGTTTACATAAAACACACGTGCGTGGGTTATTTTTACTCTGTTGTCTAAACAAAGCGGTCTCGAGTCGATAAGTCCCGCCCCAAAATGATCACATGAACGTTTTAAATGGCGGATAATCAGTGCAGTGTCACATTCTGGGAAGTATGACGTAGATGGGTCGCTGAGTGCAGTATGATTTTGATTGAGGGATGATTGATGTAAACCTTGTCTACAAGATTGCTATCAATTTGATAGCGATGACTGTTTTCTTGTTTTAGACCGGATTTCCACGCATTTTTAATTTTGTCTTTAGCTGTGCTTGTGAATTCTTGACTGCTGTATTCTAAATTTATCCGTGATAAGCTGGCGACGGTGTATTTATAGATCATCTTGGTCTTGGTTAACCAGTCCGTAGTAAAACGGAAACGGAACCATATCCTGGTCTTGTATATCTAGGCACGCACAACAGGGTTATAAACTTACATTTTAAGTTTCAACAAAATCTGATAAATAGAGGATATTTGTCGTTTTAGAGTGAATAACATATTTTATTTCATCGAGAAGCAAGAAAACTTATATTTTCACGAATGCGTAGCATGAGTGAAAATATAAACGTTTTCTTGCTTAGACATGAAATAAAATATGTTATTCACGACAAAACGACAAATGATGAAATGTTCTATTTATTTTATGATTTTACAATCATTTAAGTAAAAACAACATGGACTACTGCTAGCCAGTGGAATAACACTTTTATTTCACTGATAAAACGCGGTATTCCACTACTGATCATAAAATAAAAATTGTTACCTCTATGGTCTACAACCTTGATATAGGCCCTACCATATTTTTACGCTATTTGAGAACGAACGGCGGCCATTTTGTCTGTCAATTTTGGACCGATTTTCACGAAATTCGAACTCAGTCGTCCTTATGGTGTAAGGCCGGCTGAGTTCAAATTTCGTGAAAATCGGCCCAAAACTGACAGACAAAATGGCCGCTCTTCGTACGCAAATTGTGTAAAAGTATGCAATACAAATGTTGTCGACCCTCTAGAGTTCACAATTTTTGTCTGATTCTGATGAAACTTAAAGGAGCTAAATCGCTTATATTTGGGACCTAGAAATTGACATAAATGGGTCGCAGCGCATATAATAATGTAATATGAATCTTTATAAACTGATTTACATTCAATCGTTTCTGTTTTTACTGTAATTTCTAATCAGTTATGTTTGGCGAAATACGCTAGAAGTCTTAAGTGAATGACAATCATTAGCATCTGGTTATTCCAGTCTACACCGATGGTATTTTTTGCACATGCTCTCCAAATAATAATATAGCGTCACCATTTCACATGACTTGTGGAATATGTCTAGTCGCGTTCTTTGTGTCCCTTGTTCCAAATGGCGTTGAAATGCATTATGGTACACAATTTGTGTACCAATGGTAAAATGTTTATTTTGTCTTGAATATTGGATATCAGAAGCCCATCATTTCCCTCTAAGATAACAGGACCAATGTTGATTTGCATTGGCAAATAATTTGTTTTTTCAATGTCGAATATTTTTGATGACATTGAGTTAGAGACTTAGCTACTTTAAATCAAATCTTTATATCCCAAAGATCTCTGTACCTTTTGATATTCGCACATTTCAGGCCATAACTTTCAGGATTATTGCCTCTGATTGTACAAAAAATCACGTTTGTTTTTAGCTTGTTCTCTATCCATCTCTTGCAAAATGTGGGCGTATCCTGCCTGGCAGCCACGGGTAGACCATTAAAATATCGACTTAATAGAAAATCATTAAACACCATCTATACTTCTTTTATTCTACCTTATTTTGATTATGCTAATGTAATTTGGGCTGGGGGGGGGGGTCACTTTGCGAAGTGGGTAAGACTCTGGCTCGGTAGCCTGGAGGTCGGGTGTTCGATCCCTGCATTGGCTGAGAAAGTTCATCCAGATTTTCCGGCATGGTTCTCCCTTGTCAGTGATGCAGGACGGAGGGCCTGACAAGGACAGCTGTCTAAGATTAGGCCGTAGTGCCGCTGTCCGGGCAAAATTTCCCTCATAGCACACTGTATGGGGTATGCCCGTCTTCATTAGCCCAGTTTGGAGCAGAACAGTAGGACGTTAAACCCCATTTAATTTCATTTCATTTCGTAATATGGGGCTGGCTGTTCAGACAAATTATAATTAGTTGATGGGGGCTTTTGACATATGTTCTTTCAGTCGAATATCTAGTGGTCTTTTCGATTCCCCAATGTTACTTTCTTGACAACTGCAGTTGATTTTGTAGACACAGTCTTCCGGTGAGAACGGTTAAGTGGGGTACAACTTTCCATTCTCTTTTACTAAATCTTTCAGGAAGGTGGTTTCTATATCTGTTTCATTTTTCAATAACCCTTGATATGGTGGGAGATGTTGCCGTGGAATGGTATAAAGATTCTAATTGTAGGTTTATCATTTTTAGGTTTATCAGGTTTTGGTAGATTGGATAATGTGGCATTGATGAACTTGTTGACCATTTGTTCTCGGTATCCGTTGTGTTGGGTAAATACTTCTTTTAAGCGTTGAATTTAAACCAGGCCAAGGAAGTTACTGGTGACAGATTAAATGTCAATAGAGTTTGTAGTGACAGTTAACGTATTGGCCTTGAGTATGCTAACCGACAAAAACGTTCCCGTCGTCCATGAACGTTATTTGTAGATAAAACAATAAAACCAAGACAAATTAATTGATTCTAAATATTATGGAAATATTAATCCGGCTGTAAAATCTATTCTGGAAGTCATTCGTGGAAATTAGGGTCTGATTGAGCTTGCATGGGGATCTTAATCATCATGAAAAACGGACATTGTACATACATTTAATGCGATTGGTTTTTAGTATCTCTGGATTTTGTTGGAACAAGGGAAGGGCAACAGAAAAAAGGGGAACAATGTCTTCATTAGGGTGGGCATTTCCTTGAATAATTAAGGTAACTCTGTCGAAATTGGAGAGCACATTTTCGGAAGGGAGGGGGCAGCCACCCCCCGCTCCCTTCCCTATACCCAGGTAGGAAATCTCATCGAATTTGTGTGTTATCAACCATTTCCAGTTTCTGTTGTTTTTGCATTTATGATTGACTACCTGCCAAGCACGACTCTGCAATGAGTTTTTTTTGCTTAGGTTGCCCAGAGTAGTGAACAATTTCAATACTCTGCAAAATGAGTGTCATCTATTTAGGACACCAGCCTCAATGTTGATTTGTAAAATACAACTAGATTAATGTCCAGTCGTCAATTGTCCTGTCTTGGCATGTCTAAAAAATAGGTGTTGTAACAGCGGTCACAGATTATATCTGTTGTATTGGACCGTCTGCTAGTCTTTCCAACAGACCGTGTAAGGGACATTGGTCCGCAAAAATGAATTTTAGTACCACGGACCATCTAGACCTTGATACAGGCTCCTCCACTTCAATATCGTTACAACATTGTGCAACAGTGAAAGTTGCGACATTCCATGTTATTTTTCACTAAGCTTAAAATCACGACCATAATTTCTCAGCAAGCCGCCTGATTAAAGCCTCCAATGTCCATTATTTTCCGATTTACGATGGGCTGTTCATTATCAAATGGTTCACTGCATATCTGACAAACAGGCGATACTGTATCCATTTGTGTTTCAACATCTGAACCATTTTGTGCATTAACTTCGCCACATGGCACATGCTGGGGGGTTGGATGGCCGAATGGTTAGCATGTGCACGCTGTATCACTGTCATTGAGTCAACTGGCGTGGTTTCAAATCCCCGGTTGTACGTGACAAGGAGTAGGGTTGCCTGTCCAATCTCCTGGGGTTTCTCCGGGTTTTCTCCTTTCTCCCACTGCTAAAGACCCCAACGCGCAAGCGAATTATTGAAATAAAATTAAAACCATATGTTAGTCCCGAAATGACTTAGTCTGTCGAGTGGACGTTAAACCACATCTCTCTCTCTCTCTCTCTCTCTCTCGCCACAAGTTCAATAGGTATGATCAGCTTCCGCAGTGACTTGGGAATGGCCCCAGTCGAAATACCCCTACACCGCTACCGCAGTGAGACATTTCAAATGAAATTTACTGGATATTGCGTGAATGCCATTGTATTAGGTCAAAGATAGGAGTATCATTAATCTACAATCCCTAATTGGATATCGTTTGGCAAACAGAGGGGGATTTACCCGTTACTGACTTGGTTGTGATGCTGTGGTAACTTTGCTGTTTGACCCCGGGTATCATTTTACCCTTATAATGGTCAGTCTGTGCCTTACTTAGTCTAACGATCATTTGGAATAAATCGATGAATGTGAACTTCATTTCATTTTGTCATTTGTTTCTTCGTCAGTTTCATTAGGTGACTTTAATAACACTTAAAAATCAAATAACCCCTACTTTTTTTGAATAGTATATATGTGAGCGTATAAAAACGACCAGAATATACCACAGTACTTTTATATTAGAGGCAGAAAAAATCAAATAATACATAGTAAACTGAGATTAGGCTGCAGCGATTTAAATGGTCATAAGTTTTTGAGACATTTAACGGATAGCCCCGCCTGCGCGTGTGGACGCTATTTTGTAGATTATTACCATTATATATTATGCGCCATCCATTGATTTACTCGAGCCGCGATTTCAAGATATCCTCTCAGTTGACCAGAATCAGTTGATTTTTAACACTATTCATAACTTTTTAGAATTGTCAAAACGTTTCTAACATTATCTCGTCTGTTATTGGTTTATTTACTCTATGATTCATGTATACATAATATAGCAAATAACACTTCACGTTTTAGTAGGTCTTATATGGAGGGGTGGCGATTTGCGGCACTACTTGGTAAATATAATGTAACGAAACGGTCAAATATATATATATTTTTATGTTCTTGTTGTATATGTTCTGTATGTACATAAATTAAACTTATTTCTGTAAATTCTGGAGAGGAGTCAACACAGGCTTAACCTGTTCTCCAATCCATTTCAAATGAAATAAAATATTGTTTACAAAAAAAAACCAATGAGAAAGTCCTATTGCAGATTCATCTTGATCTCAAGGTGACAAGTGGCAACTTAAACCACTAGGGATTTGGTATCGTTTAGAACGTTTTTTTTAGAGTCCTGAAGCAGTCTTTATCTGAACTTTACGAACTTTTCCGTCCGATCCAGGATAAACTTTGTGTATAACCGCCATTTTCCACTGTCCCCTTTTTTGGTTTGGGTCTATTTCCAGTACAAGATCTCCTATTTTTAGATTGTCTCTTGATCTGTACCATTTATTTCGCGGGATAAGAGTTGGGGCGAAATATTTTAGCTAACAATGCCAGAATTCAGCGATCCGACTCTGGGCACTTCGATTTAAATTCCTTGGATTGATATGATTTTCATCTTCAGGTTGTGGAGGAGTGATGTTTGGTCCAAATAATAGATCGTTTGGTGTGATTGGTGGATCCTCGAAAATTTCGTTTAATGCGGGATATAATGGTCGACTGTTTATAAGATATGTTGTTTCGGCTAAGATAGTATTCCACTGTTCTTCAGTGTATTCGCGCATTTTACACGTAGCATTTAGAGCTTGTCTAACGGAATGAATGAGGGATTCCACCACACCATTCATGTGACTTGCGTGAGGTATATTCCAGTCCCATTGGAACTGCAAGTTACGTCCATATTTTTGTGTTATCACATTTTCGACTTTGTTTTCATTATTTCTTTCAAGTAAGTTTGTGAGCCAATGAAATTAGTTCCTTGGTCGGACCATGAACATTTAGCTTGACCTCTTATACACAAAAATCTACGATATGCCATAAGGAATGTGTCTGAGCTTTTGTTGGTAACAAGTTCAAGATGTATTGCTCTTGACGTCATACCGGCGAATATTATAACTTGATCCTCTTTAAGAGTTTTTTGTCCTAACTTGATGTGAACTGGACCGCACATATCAAGCGGGGTGTTGTAAAATACTGGAAATCCTGCAGCTACTCTGAGTTCTGGTAGCTGTCCCATTAGCTGTTTTTCTGGCTTTCGACGCAGTTTTCTACACGTAATACAGTTTCTAGTTAGAGAGTTAGCAGTAATCCGAAAATCCAGAAATGTTTTCTAGCTTCTGCTATGAGACTTTTACAACCACAATGTCCACGTCTCTCGTGCAAATGAATTAGTAGTAAATTCACAAATTTGTGGTCCTTTGGTAAAATGATTGGATTTCGTTGATCCGTTGGTAAGGTTCGGATGTTTTCAGGTCTTCCGTGTGCTCGAATTATCCCGTTGTCATCCGGTAGTAGTGTGAATCCCAATTTTTGTGATGGATTTTGAAGATTCATTTTGAGTCCATTTATATAACACATTTTGTGAATGTTTTAGTTCAGATACAGTAATTGAACCTTTGTTAAAGTCCCGTTTCGCGATATATTTAGCGAATCGTATTAAATGACACAGATATCTTCTTAGTTTGATAAAGCTTGAAACACTGTTTAAGAGTTTATCAGTAACGTCCGTTGTATTATTGTTCTGAATTGCATGCGTTGATCCTTTTATGGTTTTGTATTCAGCTAGGGTTTGTTTAGATTCATCTTCGTGCGTTGACAGTATTTCCTGTATTTCAGCGACTCTAGCTGACACGAATGGTCGAAACTTCTGTGGTGGTGATTTTAGCCACTTTAAAGCTGTAGTCGAGTCACACCATAAGAACACGGGAAAATCTTTGGCTCCGGCAAATGTGAGTGCTTTGATCAGCGACTCATACATTCTGGAGTAAACACCCTAACATTTCTAGTCGTGGTATAGACTTCTTCTTTAGCGGCGCCACTAAGGCTTTGGTTAACACTGGAACGCATACATATTCATTATTGTTTAATGTCCATCTTAAAAATACTACGCCACCGAAAGCCATTTCTCCATCGTCACAGAAACCGTGTATTTCGGGTTTGTCTGTCGCGTTTTCTGGTTTCGATTTCCTTTCGAAGGTTGTCCGGAGAATTTCATTCATTGGCTGAATATTATTCAACCATTTAGTTTGTAAATCTTCGGGTAGACTTTGATCCCAATTATATCCTATGGCCCATAAATTTTGCATGTCTATTCTGAACTTAATTGTTACAACCGAGACAAGTCCGATTGGATCACAGACTTGTGCAAGAGATGCTTGTCTGTCGCGTTTTCTGGTTTCGATTTCCTTTCGAAGGTTGTACGGAGAATTTCATTCATTAGCTGAATATTATTCAACCATTTAGTTTGTAAATCTTCGGGTAGACTTTGATCCCAATTATATCCTATGGCCCATAAATTTTGCATGTCTATTCTGAACTTAATTGTTACAGCCGAGACAAGTCCGATTGGATCCCAGACTTGTGCAAGAGATGCTAGGCATTTAGGTTTGTTGAAGATTCCTTTGACTTCACTTATTGAATACTTTTTGTACGAAAAGGTGTCCGTTTGTTTGTTCCATTTGTGTCCAAGAATAGTTGTTACTACTTCTTTTGAAGTATCCTGATCAATGAGTCCGTTATTAGAATACCAGCACTTTATTTTAAAGTG